GATCGGGTCTCTTATTCACGAGTTCCGAATGGTGTCACACATAAAGTTGTTGAAAAAGGGTTGGCAATGTGCTATATGCACTGTGAGGAGATATGGTGGGAGTCAGCTGGATTGGATTCGCTGGTAGGTAGAGAGTGATATCCTGGAGTTGATTAATACAGTCTCCGTATGCTTATAGTTTATCCAATCTGTCCTGGATTTGCTGGGTATTGGTAGTAGCCTAGACGATGCAAGAACTGACCTATACCAGAGGACTGCAGAGATTAATGGTGGACTTTTGGAGGTGACAGGAACGCAAAATGGTCTGGCGATGGTGGAAGCGGAGTGCATACACCGGTGAAGAGCGGGGAACGAGCTAGGGAACGCCATCGCTGAGTCGAGTGGTCCCTCTTCGTCCTTGCGCTTGCATCGTCCTTGCAACATCATGCAGCGTAATCTCGTGCGTCGCGGGGCGACCTATCTCAGCGTTTCACGACCTTCTGGCAGCCTGATTTTGTGCTCGGGACATGCGGCCGTCTACGTGCATCCATGAGAGTGGCGCGGAGATGCAGGGTACTGACAGCTGCCACTTAAAATGCCCATCATGGCCTTCGGATCCTTCCTCTTCCCTCGTCTCATGGAACTTTGATCATGAATCAAGTGCCGCCATTCACAATCTCTCCAGTGCTCAGAGCAGCTGCTGAGCTGCGGATCGAGGAGTTTGAACGTGTCAAAAGCTCCTTCATACAGCGCTATCGCATCGATCAGAAATACAACAGCAGAGCAGAATTGCTCGAGGCCATCTCGAAACTTCTCAAAAAAATTGAGCTAAATGATCCGGAATTGCAGAACGATGACCACGATTTCGATATCGAAAATCTCACACGCTTTGTCGAGTTAGCCCGGGATGATCTCTCTATCTCCAAGCAAAAGCTCCTCAAAATCATGGATCAGGTTCGAAACAGCCTTGACAAACGTCTCAATCGTATGGATGTGGCCTCGCTGCACATCAGCTTGATGAGAGAATCCATGAACATGACGAACTCCAGTACCCCTCCAGTTGCGGCAAGCAACCACGCGTCAAGCTATGACGGATTCGAATTGGTGGAGAGTGAGCGGGAAGATGTAATAGAACAGTACAAATCTGACGCATACATAACAATTCCAGTAGACACGACTGCTATCGAAGCCTTTCTTTGCGACATGTTTGAAGATCCGGTCGACCGCCAAGCCCTCACAATACTTCGACGAGACATGGAATCATACGCTGCGGAGCTCATGGCCGACGGCTTGGAAACCGATCAAGACAGCCTGATGTGGACCATTGTTGATCTCCTCAAGAACGACCTCGTCGATCCCAATAAGAAGAAGGTTCTAGAGGGCTATCTGCAATCACCCATTGCCCTACGGGAGTTGGTGGCCACACTGAACATGAAGACGTATCGTCAGTGGAACTTCCGAGGTTCGCATGATGGATTGCCAATAGCTTCTCGGATGAATGATGATGGTCAATACTGCATGGTAGTCGACGAAGATCTCATCGACATGCTATTCCTGCACTGCACTGCCATGGACTGGGCGTCAAAACTCAAAGAGTGCCTCACACGACTTGTCAGCCATTCGACATACTTTTCCAGCAAACTGGAGAGCCCTCAAGAGATTTGCAAGTGGGAGTACTACCTGGGTCGACACAGAAGGATGAAGGTAAAGTCACGCTACACCACCTGTAAGATCTGTGAGCCTGCACTGGTGCCCCCGCCACCACCACCAATGCCTCCAATGTCGTCGCCTCGCCCTCCAAATATTTACGGTATATCAGAACTCCGCCCGAGGCCGTATGATCATGCCATGTTACCGCCACCGCCACCACCGCCACCAGCTGGGATAACCATCCTGGATATGGAGAGACAGATGATATACAAGGACAAATTCTTCCTATCCCAGCTTCCCACACAGGAAGACGGTCTACCGAGACTTCCCTGTCCAAAGACTGTGCAAGCGGAAATGATTAAGGTGTTAGCTGCTGAAGCCAGACTACGCCATGCTTTTGACGGAAGCGTACATTCACTCCAGCTGCGCATCTCCAATCTAGCCTCCTCACTTCCACACCAAACCGTCCTTTGCGTTCTCAAGTTCCTCGGCATTCCGGAGAATTTCCTCTTCTTCTTCGAGCGCGTGCTCGCGGTGCCTCTGCGAACAACTTCACGGATTCCAGGTCAAGCGGATAAGGCCGTGAAACGGGCGTGTGGAGTGGCGCAAGGCCACAGACTCGGGATCTTTTTCAGCGAGACAGTGTTATCGTTTCTTGATCTCAGCGTACACAGGACGGCCGGCGGTTTTCTGTACCGCACCCAGGATCAGTTGAACTTCGTGGGGACGTCGAGACAGACACGCCTAGCTGGGGAAACGATGGAGCGGTTTGGCAGTATAATGGGACTCAGTCTCCACCCCTCGCAGGGCTCGCGCGGACTTGCCATTGGCCTTTTGCGTCTGCATAACGACACGGGGCTGATGCAAGTAGACATGCGCAAAGTGGTTGGCTACGCACACAGGACCAAGAAGAAGCTCGATGCCTGCACCACCGTCCTCGACTGGATTCGCACATGGAACAATACCATCGGAACATACGCAAGCCATCTGTTCGGGCCTCTAGCCGACGGACTGGGCCACCCGCACCTCGACGCCGTCAAGACTGCGTACAAGCGCCTATGCAGCATTCTCTTCGACGGCGGCACCCTGACCACTCGCGTCAAGCACATGCTACACAGCCATATCCCCGCGCAGCCTCGCACCACAGCGACACCCGACCCCGCGGACATGCTCGAAGCCATCATGTACATGCCCCAAGCCCACGGCGGTCTCGGGCTCAAAAACCCCTTCATCACACTGCAGCTCGGCGACAAGACAATGTCGGATCCCAGGGCAGCAATCCAATCCTATCTCGACAGCGAGTCGGCGTACCACGAAGTCGCGGCCCGCCAATTCGCGGCTATGCCGGCCCAGCTGCGCCAGCAGAAACTCGAGGATGTGTTCAACGAGCATGAGGAGTGCATGGCTGCTACTCTGGGAAACGATGGCCATGTCTATGCTTTCCCTACGCTGGCGGAATTGACGGCTAGACGAGAGAGTGCCGTCTATCCTCATCTTTCCTTTGACGGGCCACTTGCTTACCGACATGCCGCTGTTAAGACGCCATCGCTCATCACGCTCTGGCGCAGCTTACTCAACGAGCCTGTGCATCATATTGAGGACGGGGCGAGAGTGAGCGGATACATGGCGCAGTGCTGTGACGGCGAGAGGAAGACGTGGCGGCAGCTTAGCGGGGAAGATCGGTGGGTGCTGCAGATGTATAGCGAGGAGTGCTTTGAGAAATATGGGACGTTGAATATTTGGTGGGCGGATGGTGTGCCGACTGAGGTGTATAAGGCGCTTAGGGGGCAGGTGTGGGACCAGGGTGAGGAGGAGGATAGTGACGATGCAGTGTCGGATGGGGGTTGAGGAGATTGCGATATTTTGCTAGTTCGTAACGGCCTTGTCTTGAGAAGTTTGATTTCCACACTGTAATTGACATGGTACTTTTCTGATCTTCCATTCCCTAACTTGTGTTACTCTCCGTGTAAAGTCTACTTGACCCAATTCCCCAGCCTTCCCTACCTCGCTCGCCCCAGCCAACACCCCCAGCGAGACCAACTCGAACCAATCAGAGAAACAGAGAGGTGAGTCCAAGTCTCGAGCCGAGATGTGTCAGTACAGAACGAAGCCAGACAGTGAAGACATTCAGTCGTCGAAACAAATATACCAACACAAAAGGAAGGTACTTGAAGGAAAGAGAGAGGAAAAAGAGAACCCCAATGCCCAAGAAAGCCCAGTGTATACAACCTCTTTCCAAAAAAAAAAGAACCTCAAAACTGCCAGAGACCAGATGATGTGTATACAACCTCGAAACCCAAAGACTCGCCCAGTAAACTCCATAGCAATGCAAACATCCAACCATGCGTACTCCAGTATATCCAGACACCGCGCGTCTTAAGCCAACAATTTTTGCGCTATTCAGACCTCAAAGATAATGAAAGAAGCGATCAACGTGCACTCGACCTCCACCCTTGCAATGCACTGAAACTGACATCGCCCTCTGCGTCATCCTCGAACCCTTCCCAGGGCAACTCCTGCGTCTCTCCCTCTTCATCTACATCAGGCGCATCTTTCACCGCACCTCGTCTACCTTCCACGCTCTCGTCCTCACTTTCATCAACAAAGCTCCTGATGGTCACCTTCTTCTTCTCTTTTGCAGGCTCAGCAGCAGTAGCAGCAGCATCAGTGCGGATCTCGCGAGTGATAGTCTCGACATCCATTTCCGTAATGTCTTCGCCCTGTTGACCCTCGAGCACATCGAAGAGGTTGTAGATTTGCATTTCCTTAACCGAGATGCGCACGAGCAGTTCTTGACATGATTCAGTGTATTCGATACGTTTTCGGTTACCCAGGCTGGGGTCGTGACACTCGAGCATAGCGCGTGAGACTGCTAGCTCGGCATGAAGATGAGCGCGTTCGTCTTGGAGCTCCTTGACGACGAGGGCGAGGGCTTCCCTGGGGGAGCGGGCAGGACGGAGGGTAGCATCACTATCATCGGCTGTTCGGATAGACGCTGGGACGAGCTTTGGGACGCGGAGATCTTCTGTGGCAGTAGAAACTCCTGAGCGACGGCAGACAGTGCAGTTGACGTTGTCATGATCTTTGGGAATGGGCTTGTGGGCGAGTTTGAGAGTAGTTGTCTGCTTCAGTATGTCGAGCTTGATATCGGGCACAATGAAAGCAGATGTCATCTCGTTGGGAGCACTGCGGCGTCTACGGCTGGTGTTGCTCAACATCGAAGCGTCCACTACAGACTGTTTGGTCTGAGTGGCTTCCGTATCCGCATCCAGGTCGGAAAATTTTCCAGTAAAATCTTCTTCAAACTGCGTTCGTTGTGTGTGCTCCTTGAGGGAAGACTTGCGGACAAGAGATGGGCGGCGCTCGCTCTTAGCGGATGCAACCGAACGGCTGGTGTCTTCACGAGATTGACGTCGCGATCGTACAGTGTCCTCACGCCCGTGCTTCTCCGTCTGCTCCGCAGCTTGACGAGCCGCAGCTCGCTCCTCCTCCAGCCTGCGTCGAAGCTGAGCAATATCAGTGCTGTTGATGAAGCTTAGCTCCGTCAGATCCAGGTCTGCAGGCGGCTGGATGGCGGTGGCAGGCCTAGCAGACAGGACGCTTCGTGATGTATGCATGGTGCGAGGCGCAAGCGACAGGTCGGTGGTCGATTCGACTTCACTCTCCACACGTGCGTTCTTAGCGGCAGAGAGGGGAGCAGATACGCTTCGCTTGTTGGAAAATCGTGAGGCTCCAGTGTACGACTTGCGTGGGCTCTCCTCGAAACGGCTCGATTGAACCGTTGGGCTCATGGCCCTGCTGTTGCGAAGCTCCTGTTGCACCTGGTTCCTGATCCGAGTTCGGGTGTCCTCGCGACGGAGGCTGGATTTGCGTTGTAAAGACTCTCGGGTCTGGCTCTCGTTGCCCCTAGATTTGGAAGTGCAACCCTCTGCCTGGTCATTGTCTTGACGCATTGCCAGAACCTCACGCGTCATGTCAAGAGTCCTACGGGCGGCATCCTCTCGGCGCTGAACCTTGCGTTGCAATTCCCTCTCCTTTTCGATCCATTGCTCTTCCTCTTCTTCGTGCTCTTGTGCCAACCGCGCCAGCTCATTGCGGAGATTTTCATTGTCAATGCGTATAGCGTCATTGGTCTCTCCCTGAGTCAAGTCGTCAAACTTACGAATAGTCTCGTCCCGTCGGCCAACCATTTTCTCCAACTCCGTCTCTCTGCTAGACCATCGCTTGAGATCTTCATCACGCTTCGCCTTCATATTGGCAAGCTGCGTCTTGAGCATTTCATGGTCAGCCTTGAGACGCGCAAATTCAGCCTGCTCTTGGCGCGCCCTGCGGAGCTCAATGTCCTTGCGCGAGAGCTGTTGGGTGTTGTCGTCATTCTGAGCGCGTGCACGAGCTAACTCAGCATGCAAGCTGGCATTCTCTCGCTCTGTGGCATTTGCAGTCTGATCAAACTGTCGTCGAAGCTGAATGGTCTCTTCCCGATGTTGAGACTGATCCTGCTCAAGCTGATCGCGGAGCCGTTCATTCTCAGTTCGCAGGGAGTCAATCTCATGGCGTAGCTCATCATTCTCTGCAGCCAAGGCAGTCTTCTCATGTTTCAACTCTTCACATGTTTGAAAGGCAACACCCAACTGGCTAGCCATATTGTCACGCTCGCTGTTAAGACGCTTCTTCTCGATCTCCAGAACAGCGGATTTGCGGTCAGAGCGGTCAAGTTTCGTCCGGAGCGTTTGTACCGTGGCTTCAAGTCCTAGATAGCGTCAGTACATTATCTGTTTTGTGTTTTCATGCCACTTACGAGTTTTCTCAACCTTCCAACCACTCTTGCCACCATTTTCAGACTCTTGTGCACTGTCACTTCGTCTCAGCTTCTCTTGCGCCTGTGTTGTGGCTCTTAGCTCGATTAATTCGAGCTCCTGTTCTTCAATACGTTTATCCGCCTCTGCACGCTCAGTTTCCATCTGGTTGACTTTGTCCTGCAGCTGCTGAAGGGCTGCAAATATGGCCTTCTCCTCAACCGGAATTGGCACGCCGTCTACAGGGATATGTTGAGGCTTGCGACCACCGTTTGGCGGGGCAGAGAAACGCGATCGGGCGGGTGCATTCTTTGAGAAGACTGGTGTGCCATCATCAAAGACTCCAGAGACCAGCTCGGTGAGGTTCGGTAGGTCTGGCAGAACAAATGACTGTCCTGTCGCGTTGTGTGCGGTGCCCGGCCGGGAACGAGTTGAAACATTGGCGCGTGGAGAATTCTCTACCATACCATCCAGCTGGAGGGAACTCTGTCGGCTTCGATTACCCCAACGCGTATTTCTGGTAGAATCGACGGTCAAAGTGGGTGGCCGTTGCTCTATGAAAGATGACTCGTCCTCAGAAACTTTGGCGTGACTCTGTGCAAGCGATGGGCGCTTGCGTTCTTGGTTTGTATTGAGAGCGGGAGAGTTGCGCTTGCTTGCAGGTCGAGGAGACGCGGTGTCGTAGTCGTTGCGCGAGGCGCGTCGTAGCTGTGCGTCTCGTCGCAGGCTACCAGTCTCTGGCGCGTGTGACTTGCGCGATTTGTTCGTAGGTGGTGTCATGTCGTACATACTGTTGAACTGGGAGCTCTTATTGGGGGTGCCGCGTGAGTTGCGGTCGACGCCACGCGCTTGTTCAATGGGCATGACTTCATCGTCTGAGATGCTGTGGTCGAAGTCGCCAAACTCTTTGTTGACCATGGAAGTGTCTGGCCCCGGTTGTTCAGAGCGCTGTGGTTGCCATGAGTTCATCTTTTTGGCGGTTGATCGGATACGAGGGTAGTGTGGAAGTGTATTCGTCTCGTCCTCGATCTTATGCTGTGTTGACATGAGAACATCTGGGTCATCGAAGAAATTCGATGTGCTCCCAAACGAGTTCCTGGTGGGATCAGAGTCGCTTCGTGGCAGCGAAGGCGATGTGACGTTTCTGGGGCTGTGGCTCAGGCTTCGTGATAGTTCGCGAATAGCGCGCGCTTTGGCTTCGCTCATGGGAGGAGAGGACTGCATTGGGAAGTTATGATTGCTGCAACGGCAGCAGTGTTGATAGTCGCGTTGGTCGTGACGCGCATCAATGGAACTCGAGGATAGAAGATATATTCCTTGATAAGTACAATAGAACTGTCAGTATGGCCCAAGATTGCCGTCAACTGGCGTGCTGTCAAGTCGTGTCGTTGGGTGGTGGGGGAAAGCGCGGTGCAGACTTGAAGATGTAGGCGGGCACCTTTCGAATGTTGTTTACCTACAATAACAACGCTAGACCACATGCACGATAGCGTGTTGATGCACCTACCACCACGAGACTCGTCACCAGCCCCTCAGCCCCTCTTACCTGACATCGGATTGAAAGGGCAATTTGATGGCCGGTGAAGAGAGAAGGAAGAGTGATATTGAATCGGTAGATGGTCTTTTCATTACCTGAAATAGAATATTTAGTTTCCAATGTCCTTTTCTTTTTGGCATGCCACTTCATGGCCCATGCTCAAACACCTTTAACACTACTAACTACTACCAGTAATATGTACACATCGATCAACCAAATATCGTATCAAAACAGGACATCCGCGCTCGCTCGACTTAAAGGAACTCCTCCCATACTCTCCTCACACACAGTCTATCCGTCCTGATCAACACCATCAGGACCAACACATGCACTGCCAGCAAACCCAAGCTCCCCGCCACCCCATCAACGCCCACATAGCTTCCTCTGATCCTCACGCCAGCCCTAATGTTCAAAAAGTCCAAGCTTGCCACAAGCAACAATGGATACACAGCCCTTGCCTCCGCCGCGAACGGCTGACAAGGACTGAGCAAACTGACTGCCTTTGCCACAAACAGCACCACCTTGATCACACTCAATGTTCCAGAATGTCTCAATATCCGATACAACCTTGCGCTGATATTTGCCGGGGGAGGTGGTAGCATTAAGCGCTGTGGACTCAATGCTCTGGTTGGACTTGATGTAGGCGGCGGCAGGTCCACCTTCCTCGGTCGTAGGACAACAGCTCCTCCATCTTCAGAGGACTGGCGGTTCATGTCTTGACTCTGAGGTTCTGGCGGACTGGGCGAGCGGTCCACTACTGTGGCGCTGAGATGCGAACGTCCCGGACGTGAGTAATTGACAGACGTGTGCTTTCGTCCCGTCTGATTGGACGACGGACTTGGTGTATCGGCTCGTGAGATGCGGGGGCTGATTTCTTCGCGATTAGATGGTCCGGCGCCATAGGTGCTGAATTCATCAAACACCAGTGGGGACTTGAGTACGTGCAGAATCTCTTCCGTGCCAGGGCGCGCGTCAGGAGTCAGAGCAAGCAAGCGTTTGAGCGAACGATATAATTTCTCGGGAAGATCGGAGCGAATGCGCTGTTCATCGTCTATGCCAGCCCATGTTGAGATCTCGGCGCGCAGTTGGTCGAGATCCTCGTTGTCTTCATCAATGCCGTCTGCGTTCCTGTACGGAAGTCGTCCAAAACACATAAAGTACACAATCATGCCTAGAGAAAAAATATCGGATTTTGTGGTGAAGTTTCCAAATGCACCACCCGGATGCTCCTGGCGTAGAACTTCGGGAGCACAGTATGATATTGTCCCAGTGGCACCAGTAGAATTTCTGGCAACGTTTGCGGACTGCACTTCACCAAAGTCACTGACTAGAACTTTGATTTTATGGCCAGTATTATGTAGTAAGCAGTTGCTTGGCTTCAGATCTCGATGGATATAGCCGTTCGCGTGGAGATGGTCGAGACCGGAGGTAATGTCCTTGAAGAAGGATATAATCTCCTCAAAGTGCATCTTGCGTGGGCCGTGTAGGTCTTGTGGCTCTTCAAGTTGCCCCTTTGATCTTCTTCTCAGCCGTTCCTTCATCAGTTCTGTAGTCACCCTGCTCTTGGCCGAGTCCAGAATGTATTGATGGAGATCTCCAGCATTGCAGTATTGCTGCAGGATAAAAGCGCAAGGCACGCTAGGTCCAAAGGCCGATATCTGAAAGTCTTCAAGCCAGACATGTCGATACGAGACTAGGTTCTGATGCGATAGGTTTTGCAGCAGTTGGACTTCGATGAGTACCTTCTCCAGCCACTCGTGATCGTCGCCCACTGGTACACGCTTGCAAGCAAACTTGCCCAGCTGCACGCCATCCAGGACATGCTGTACGAGAAGAACCACGCCCTTTCCGCCTCTTCCCAGCTCTCGCTCTTCCACAAAGAAGGTCTTGAAATAATTCGGGCTGAACGCTTTGGCAGATATACCCTGACTTTTCTGAGGCGCAGGCGCACTGCCGACAAATTCAGCCCCCTCTGGTGAACGGAAGTTGCCTCCGAACGGCGCAGGGGCGAGCTGCTTGTGTGGCGATGAGGGCCGGGAGCTGTTCTTAGAACTTGGCTGGCTCATGCGCAGCATTTGAAAGTAAGCTGGGTTGACGAAGCCATTCTCAGCCGGTATGCCTGGTGCTGTGTGTTCATGCTCGTCGTTCTTAGCTTCACCATGTGGTGAAGGCTCGCGGTATGGCCGACGGCAGTACGGACACGAGGTAGCTTCGGCGTCGATGGCTTGAGAAGCGTCACGTAGGGAGAGTTGTCGTGAGTGGGGATCGTAGACGACTACGGCTGAACCATGGCGCCTGTCAGATGGTCAGCAAAAGCGGAATCTGGGTCGTAGGCTGGTGAGCGCATACAGCACCACTTCTCGCGACTCGGCGGTTGCAAAGGGTATCAGCGACATGCTTCTGTGTCGTTCGCGATCGTCCATGGTATGCTTCAGCCTTCAATAGAGCTGTTCTCAATCCTCACGTCAGATGCGCGCAAGATCTGCCCGACTGCCAGCGCAGCGACCCACTGCTACCCAACGAATTCTGGGAGGGATCTGAGGCGACTCTATTTACATGCGCATGTGCACAGACGGTCAGTCGCAGCGTTGTGATCGAATGCGGGGAAGGTGCGGGAATGCGCGTATGGTGTTTACCAAGCCGGCGGCCGCCTCACTCAATCGGTCGCCCACAGATGGCAGCAGCGGTGAATGCGAACTACTTCGCTTTCGTAATCTCGTTTTAGCATGACCGTGTGTCCCTAGGTGACGTGGGCCGTTGTCATGGCATGATTGTATCTTTATCAGCAGAGGAGAGGTTTGGTGGGGGATGCTTGCGAGTGATGGTACCCTAAACATGTACTAGCCAAGGGACGTACTCATGACATGACATGGATCTTGCAGCTAAAATAAAAGAACCTCCTGTCTTCTAACTGTCTTCGACCAAGGCTGAATTGTCTGCCATACGGTACACTACTCCATGTCCCGTGTTTTCGTTCGGCGCACCAATCAAATCTCGATCCCCACATGTTTTGTTTGCCTTTTCTCCATCGGCTTTCCAGTTGCTAGGTACCCATAGTGTGGTAACATCTACAGGTGGCTCTTCACCAACATGCCACCCTCCCAGACCTCACCCTTCTCCAGCTTCTGCCATCCATCGACAGCGCCAACTTCAACACAGACCATGTTTTTGTAACCGTCATCTGGCGAAAAATCACCCATGGCCTTGGCCTTTTCGATCCATGGATTCCACGTAACGGTATCCTTGACATTGTCGCGAATGACATCGAAGCGTGGCTTGCCATCCTCGAGGATGGATGTAGTATCTTGCTTGATGTTCTTGTAGACACGGTCGACCTCGCCGGTGAACTTGAGCTCGTTGCTACTCTGCGTATGTGTGGAAGCATCGAGGACCTTGTCTACGTACTCGGTGCCGGAGAGACCTGTGACGACGACCTTGGAGATGTCCTGCGCATGCAGCGTCAGTCGCTATCGTAGGGTGTCGATGTCTATAAATATGAGAACCACTTACCTGGATCTTGAAGTAAGTGTGCAGCAGAAACTGGAACTCGAAGCTCTCCTCGCCCTCATTGCGGACCGTCATGACAGCCTGCAGGCTCTCTTTGCTCAATGTGACACTGTAGACGAGGCCAAAGTCAAGCGGCCATGCCTTGCGCGACTCCTCACTCAGGCCCTGGCGATCTAGGCCAAAGTCGAGTTTGACGGAGTCCGTGTCCGCAGCATCCTCAACAGTCGACTTGCCCAAGAACTCCCAGCGCGTGCCGCGAGCGAAGCCGTGTTGCGGGAGGGAGGACGTGGGGTGTGCTGATTTTGGCGGAGGCCCAAATACCTAGACAGAAAAGCTGTCAGCCATATTCAAGTAGGGCTGCATGATGTGTGATGCCCGCCCTCACACCAGGACAAGTCGTATGTCATGACTTACAGGAAAGACGACTGGAATACCGCCACGAACAGGCTTCTTGCCAGTTAGATCGGCCTTCTCACTCAGCCACAGGTTCTCCGTCTTTCCTCCATGGCTCTTCCAGCTGGTAACGGTAGCTCCAAACAGCAGGACCTCGACACTCTCACCAGACGAAAGCGTAGCAACCACCTTCTGGCTGCCCTCCTGTCCTACAATATCGACCTGAGCTCCAGGCGCAGAGGCTTGGGGCGCATTGAGCGCAGACGGACGGTTGGCACGATCGACCATGATGAAGGCTCGTGAGGGATTGTTTGCTGGTGTTTAGACGTGGGTGTGTTAATGGCGGGGTAGCTGTACTGGTACCGGTACCCAAGGAAGCTTGAGCCGACGTTTTGGTAATGGAACTTTTCGAATGCGTACTGCGGTAGATTGAGAGAGGCTTCTAGAAGTGAAGGCGGGCAAAGCAAGCTCACCTGTAGATTTTTTCGGGGGTTGACTTGTTGTTTTCAAGATTTGTTATTTGCGGTGAGAAGGGAGGGGCAATTGCGTAGTAGTATAGTGGTGGTGGTAGAGTAAAGCATCGACCAGCCCCACCAAGCAACATGTACCAAGCACCACTGAAACGTACAGCATGTTTCAGCTGATCTCTCTTGCATTCGCCTGCATTTCCTTGCCCAGACCCGCCAGCAGATCATTGGGCCTTCTAGACCTTCGGTGCATAGGTGCTATACTATAGGAAGCATATGGTAGATAGGTCGAGCAGTCCTTCGCCTTGTCACACTTGCAGTAGGATAGGAAACGCGTTGAGATGCCTTCACCAACAACCACCAAACATTCACCAGACATTCACCTGCACATCTGCTACCACCCCTTCACTTATTCCATCTCTACCCGTAGCTAATCCCAGCCTATATATGGGATTGTGCGGAACAATAGACCCGACGGGCAAAGCATGTTTGCATGTTTGTACTGCATGTACGTGGCACAGTCGGATCAGTCCGGCTGGAATTGGGGGTTCCGCCGCGTGACGTCAAACGGAGCACACATATGACTTGTTTTACAACACAGTGGTATCAATCCTATTCCTATGCCTACTTTCAACTCAATCCTTGCATGCTACCGTCAAGGCTTCATTCGCAAACAAATCATTCCTTGCTCTTCGCATCAGCGCCGTCATTACCCCTTAGCCCTGCAATCAGGACCTGCCTCCTGATATCAAACAAGGTGTCATCAATCTCTCTCTCCTCTTCCCGTCCCAGTACAAGCTGTGGCGCACTGAATAGGTAGTCCTTGAGACTCTTGAGCTGATTGATGATACTACGCGGCGTGAGGATGACGCGCTCGGTGAAAGAGCGGCTTGGGGTAGTTGTCGGCTGGCTCGTACGTTCTGGCTCTGCTGTTTTCTCTGGCTCAGGCGGCACATCTGGGATAGTGGTGACTTCGGCCTCTGGGGGCCCAGCTGCTACGGATATCGTTGGTGTGCCATGAACAGAGGATCCAAGTTCAGAGGACCGCTTTGGCGTGACCTGCACATGGCTGAGACGTTTTTTCTGTGAGCTGTGAACTTCTTGACTCGTCTGGGTAGGCGGTGGAGTCTTCTTGGCTTCGCTGACGTCCTGGGATTGACTGCCTCGTGCTCGTTTGGGGACTGGTGTATCTTCAACCAAGTAGTCTTGGGAATTTTGAACTTGATTTAAGAGTGATTGCGAGCGTCGTATCATACCAGGCTTGCGGCCTGTTTCTGGAACCACGACATGTGCTGGCGATTCGGGGTCACCCATAAACTTCCTTTTCCTTCCCTTTTGTTGTGACTTTGGAGAGGCGAAGGTGGGTTTCTTTGTCGGGGCAACAACAATGCTCTCGAGCATGTCGTCACCATCCGGCTGGGCAGATTCAGACTCAACGACCGGTTCCTCCTTCTTTTCCATTACTCCCTTCTTGCCCTTCTTGCCTGATGATCGGCTGCGTTTCTTGCCATTGGTGGATTGAGCTGGGCTGGGTGTTACGGAGTGTCTGGCTGAGCGTCGGAGTTTCTCTGGTCTTGGGGTGCTCTTCGCGGGAGATTTAATGAAGGAATCATTCACGCGGCTGGTACTGCTAGTTTCCAGTTCTGTATCGTCACCCTCAAGATCATCAATGTTGTGAGACGGCTGGTGGGATGCAGCATCGACGAAGGTGTTCATAGACTCTGGCGCCAGTTCCTCTGCAGAGCCAATATCTTGTGCTTGCCGCTCGGCGGCGATTTGCGCAGTAAGTTCCAAGTCGATCATTGAGCTAGGCTGTTGAGACATGATGGTGTCTTCAGAATGATCCATGTCAGAAAGACGTGCTATCTCGCTTTCGGCTGCAAGTAATGCCTCTTCGTCTACTGTTGTTCCTTCGTCAAATGATGGCAAATTTTCTGGTTGTCGGTAGTCAAAGCTGGAACCCACGAGAACATCCGGGGTTATCTGGTCGTCTGCCATCGAATCCTCGATCTTGTCGAATCTAGGCGGAGAAGATCCGAGATTGTTGTCTGGCGCGAAATCGACAGAACGCTCGGCAGTTGGAGTCGCAACACTGATCGCATCACTCTGCTGAAAGTCTTGTCTACTTTTTCGTGCATGTGGCGTTGGCGAAGACCCTAAAAATGTATCCACAGGACCCATGGTTGCCAAAGCCTTCGAGGGCGTCGTTCGAGAGGCATGGCTCATGGAATCTACTGCACTAGGAGCATCCGAGTGGAGTTCCATCGGAGATGCAATCTCATCATGCAGAGGGGAGTTTGCCCCCATGTTAGCGAACAGACCTGTTTTCAGCCTTTGGCGCTCTATCATATCTCTTTGACGCTCAGTAAGCAATTGAGATTCTTGGTCAAAAGGATTGGAAGGCGAGGAGAGAATGGGCTCGAACTGTATCTGAGAATCATTATGGAGTAATCGCACTTTCGGTGTATTTCGTGTGACTCTCCTGCTACTGCCCGGGGTAGGTATGGCCGGAGATCGAGACATGGACTTCCGCGCCGGCTTTGATATTCTGAATGGTGAGCCCTTGACTCTAGAGCTTTTCAAGGTAGTTTTGATGTCGTCGACGCTAGCGTCCGAGTCGTAAAACGTAGGGTCCTCGTCCTGTGTCGGTATTAGTGCTGTCAATGTAGATGTCAAGTAACAGCTTACGGATTCGTCTTTGCGCACATCTAGCGAGGGCAATTCAAGGTCCACGTGATTACGCAACCGGCGTAGAGCCCTCTCGAGACCAGTGGGATACCGCAGATGCTCTTCCTTGCCAAAGGTCTCGTTCCACGTCGCAATCGAGGTATTGACGATGCCTCGACGTCTGCTCAGGAACCCCGAAGTAATCAAGGTTTCCAAGTGAAGAAGAATCTGGCTATCTTTACGCGGAAGTCTAGCAATAGCCTTGCAGATATCTTGCCATAGGTTGAGTACCTAGGCACAGTTAGTAATCACTTTTACGGTATAGACGAATTGCTTGCCTCGCCATGCAATGCCCTTAATGACTGCTCTTTGCTATGCATCTTCTTCTCAGGATCCTCAACCCACGTAGCAATCACTTGCTGAGTCTTGCGCAAGTAGACAGCAAGATGTGAAGTCGAACACTGCTGGATGCATGCATGCAACGCAGCGATGAAAGTTCTGGTGTATTCAGCACCTGTCCGATCCAAGTCTCGGTACGCAGCGGATCCAACGGTGACAATGGCTGTGTAAAGGTGGTTGTAGGGATCGAAGTCTGTGGTACGTCCTGTTGCAGGAGAAGAAGGCCACAAAAGCTGACGGCCCTGCTCCAAAATCCTCCGGCTCATCTGCCTAGGGAGGTTCTTCAATAGCAGCGTTACGAAGGGCAGGCAGGAGGTTTTGTCTTCCTCTGCCATGCGCTTGATGACGCGTTCAGAAATCGGCTCAATTACAGCCAAAATGACGGCCCCTTCTCCTGTCTCACGCCGGACAGTATTGATGAATGCGGACAGAACTTCTTCACCTCTAGGGCTATGCGTTACGAATGCTGATGCTAGGCTAAGCAGCTCGACAACGGCCTCATACTCTTTACCGTACGATCTAAACCCCCGTTCGCTGAGGTCGGAAACTGACTCCTCGATTGAGGCATGAAGGAGTTGTGTGGTCTGAGACCAAAATGTCTCTGCAACTGCAGTTTGCAATGCAGGATCCACAGTTGAGGCGCAATCGCGGAGCAATTCTAGTCGGCTCAGACGCGTCTTTTGAGCATCAAAACAGGGCTTTAGTATCAACTCCATTGCGCGATTCCGCACAGAGTCCGATAGCTTTGCCTCGGACTGATTGAGCAAAAGGTCAGTGAAGTACAGTAGAGGTGAGGTTCGTGCCCCTTGTTGTCGTGCGCGATGTGTTGGTGTTGATGCAACTTCAAAGTCATTGTCGCTATTCCGTGTAAGGTTTTTCTCGGAAAATTGGGAAGCTCCAAATTTCTGTACAACTGATTCAATAAGGAAACAGAACTTCTTCGCCCATAGGTCTTCCTTTTGTTGCGGCACAGCTAGCTTAGCAGTGTGGCTATCCCAGACCCGCCTGAGCAGGTTCACGATTTGCGCGATGGCATCTTTGGTTTCACTGGAAGCCATGATTTCCTTGCTGCTCGCCTCTAACAAGGAGCTCAGAACAGCCAGCCACATGGTCCTCACAGGCTCATCCTCCTGTTGTTCCTTTTCAGACCAAGGCGTTGCTTCTAGTAGTGTTTCCACAAATCTCAGTATCAGCAAAAGCGATTTTCGTACCCATCTAGGATCGAGCAGAGGCAGCTCAGCGCGCTGAGTCATGTATGATGGTCGCAAATCGAGAGCTCGGTGCTCATTCCAAGGTTTTCGTGAGCCATTCAAGAGGGCGGTAACGACTCGACACGCGGCAGCAGGGTGCCGAGATGATGACGAATGAATGAGGGGAGCCCAGAAATTGGCGACAAATTCTGTCCAGTACCTGTCCAGCTGTTCATAGGAGGCCGTCGGGCGTAATGCGTAGTAGAGCAGCGTCATGTATCCGGAGGTTGTCGCGTCTCGTTCGGCTTTCCTAGTCGCAATAGGTTGCTGAATCTGGTGCAAAGGAATGCTCGAGAACATGGACGTCCAACTAGAAGCCGTGTTTGGGCCAAGATTTACTGCATAGATCAGAAAGCAGAAGGCGACATTTGCATGCACCTTGACCATTTCCTTTGGAGATTTGAGGCATCTTTCAAAGAGCATCAGCCACTCCTTGAGAGCGGAGAACAACTGGCTGTGTAGAGAGTCACGCAACAGTGCGGTGACAGCGGACCAGATCTGAGGCACTATGACGGCATTTTCTCCCGTGAGCATCCTGTCCAACTCTTGGATTAGGACCTTGGCCAAGGTCTCGCCGTCGCTTCGTGTACGGTTGAGAACGTTCAGAACAGACTTGGCAACATGACGGTCATGACCAATTGTCTTCACTGCAGCCAGGCAAGTGTCCAGCGCGCTTTGGTTGGTGTCCTTTTGGCTTGCTACCAAGGCCTTGACTGTAAGCTTGAACCAGCGTTCGGCGTGTTTGATCATCACATCTGGACGTTGCTGGACAAGTTTTTTGTAGATGCGAATCCTATACGCTAGCACAGAAAAACCAGTGACACGCTCGTGGATTGTGTCGAGTGAATCCAGAATCTTCTCGACACGTGCAATCGTCATGGTCTTTGGCCTGAAATGTTGTTGCATGCAGACAGCCAGGTGAGCGTTGACGACAGACTTGGGCATCGTACTGTCACTGGCGACTATGATGATACGGTCGGCGATGAAGGAGCAGAAATCGTCGTCCATGGCAGAAGTCAGGTCGGGGATACGGAGCAGGGCCATGAGCAGCTTCAGGGCCTGGGAAATGAGCTGCGAGTCCAGTCCAGCTCCTGTAGGGCTTTGGGCCTGCACATCTCGTCGAATGAACTGGGTCAACAGCGTCATCTTTTGCTGGAGAGCGTGAGCGTCTGGCACCTTGTCGTAAGCCTGCATTGTCCTCTGCAGCGAGTGGTATGCGTCCAGTCTCGAAGGACGATCCGCCGAGGCCAGCAGCTTCACTATTGATTCCAGCATCTCGGCGAAGGTCTTGAATTTGTGCGCCGCGGCTCCTGCGTCGGCTGGAGGAGGGGTTGAGGTGCCGTCCGAGGGCTTTAGTATCGACTTGAGCGGCAACGACACGCGTGTCTGGGGAAGTGGGCGTAGCGGCGAGCTACGTGTCGGGGTCCAGTCCTTTGTGAGGGCGTTGTTGGTTGGAATAGCACATGTCTGCAACTCAAAGTTGACCCTCTTTCGTCGGCTTGCAGAACTCGAGGGAGGGACGCTGATATCAGAAGAGGGAGATTGCGCGGGGGTGCTCAGCACAGCCTTGGTTGCCGCAACTTGGGGGGGCAGAGGCCTGTCGCCGAAAGGGTCGTCGAGGAATTGCAGCGTCTCGTCGATGTCTTGTCCGTCGGCGTTGGGGTGGAGATGTTTGGGCGGAGTGGGAGGGCGAACAGACAATGAATCGAATTTGGAAAACACCATGACTACCGGTGGGTAGGAACCGCGCTATGCTGGGGCCAAGTAGAAGAAACAAAGGACAAAGACGCAAGCAAGCAATCGCATTGCTGGCGTGTAGGCGGGTACAGCACTGTGCACGATAGATTCGTACAGTACAGCACAATCTAGCAGAGCGTGTCGAGGAGCAAGCACAAGCATCGAGGTCGCGACAAACTCCCGCATCCCGGCACAGACTGCAAGAAAGGCTGGCTTGCGGCGGCGGGTGTGCACGTTCGACGCGTCCCGCCAACGCGACAAATCGACTCGCGTCCGCGCGTAAAGTGACTTGGCGTTGCTGCAACGCGGGCAGCTTTGACGGCTGAACGAGCTTCTTTTACCGGTATGGGACTTCCATGATAGCTATTACCGTACCTTTGTTGGAATGACGATGGTTCGCTTTCATCACAGTCTCCCACTATTTGCACATGAAACGACGTGAGCCTGCATATACAAGTACAACATACATGCATACCTGAGGGGTAATAGGTACGTACCTAAGCTAAGGTACCTATTACCTATACCTAGGTACTGGTCGGTACATAGCTATACTCATGCGCTCGGGTAGTTTGAGTATCATGTGATTTGCCACTGCTACATCCTGGCATTTTCATAGCACAAGACAAGTAACGTGATCCTCAAACTAGCCGAGATAACTAGTAGACTACGGTACTTCAGTCCAGAAACCCAGATCGTCCTGAAATATGTTTTCGCCTGTATCGGGCAAGTCCACCGAGTATCTACCCACCCTGAATGTGCCCTCGTTCGTCCTGTAAATCCCCGCTGTGTACAAAGCGGGCCCCGCATAGGAAGATGCCCAGAATAGTGGATTGATCGAGCATGTAGGTGGGAGTGATGGCTTGGTAGGAGTTAGCTAGGAGTGGGGCATGCATCTCGTAGGTATCATCTTAAGCTACCGGTACATCCCACCCACCTTCCAATCCGCGACATGACGTCCTCCCACTATCACTGCTTTTCTGTGAGTCTTCTCCCACTCTCCACGTCCTCTCATTAGGTACACCACACGCAGTCATGCTCGCCTCACAAAAAACTGGGACCGGTCCGTACAACCATCCTATTCCACTTTCCTTCACACATGCCAACAACAGCTAACTGCTCACAGCAAAGCTCGAGCACATCTCAAGCATACTCGCCGACTTGAAAGCCGACCTCTCCGCCCCAAAATTCTCCATACAGCGTACGTCACCCTTTAGAGCGCCTCGTGTAGATGCACAGCTCATCACTCGAACAGAACGGCAGCAATTGCTCGAACAGCTCAAGGTCTACGGTCGCTCCGTAGACAATGCAGATCCCATATTCACGCAAGATGTATGCAGTCACTTGTCCGGCTCGGCGGCTGGTACTGACTTTTCTAGGGAATAAGGATACTAGGACAATGTGCGTTCGAGGGTGAGACGACTGCAGCGTCACAAGAGGCGCTACGATGTCTAGCCAATGCTCTGCTACTGGTACCACGGACGCGCCCGATACTGGTGGATCTTGGTCATGGCATGCATGCTTCTGACATGTTGAAGGTAGCATACGCTTACAATTACATGACTGTACAATCTCATGCTTACATCACACCAGGGCGACAACATCGACAACGAATTCCTCCTCTCCCGGCTCCTCTTTCTCATGACCTACGACACAACCCTCGACTACCCCCTGCTTGTCCAATCCCACGGCCTCGCAACCAACATAAATGCTGCAATCGCTCGACATGCAGGCCGGTACACGCTACAGGCCCGTCAGCCAGCCCGAGAACACACGCAACCCATGGACCTCATGGCTCTTTCCGAGACACTCAAACTCTTATTCAACATTACTCATTTCCACCCAGCCCTCATCTCACACTTTTCGTCCTCGATACCCCATCTATTCACAATACTAATGTGCAGAGGCGTCACCAAACCTCCCTTAGAAGCGCCAGCCAGCTTCATCGTGAACGCACTGCTAAACTTAGATCTGGACAACAGTAACCCCCAGTCCTCCACAGCAGCAGAAATAAAGCCGGCAGATGTCGCAAACCCAGTCTTTCCCTCCGCCTCTCCAACAGCCAACACGACACACCTCATCAACCTCCTCTCCGCCTCTCTAACTTCCTACCCCGACACCGAACTCGACGCCACCGTTGCCCCTCTTCTCACACTCATCCGCCGCATCTATGAAATTGCCCCCGCAGACGTGAAAAAGAGCATGGAGCAGCAAATGCTCCCCACACCTGCAGAACGCGACAAGCCCCTAGGCAAATCAGACACCCTCTCCTCACGCCTCCTCAACCTTACAACCAACGCACTCACGCCCACGCTACGCGGCAGCATATCGTCCATGTTCTTTGAGCTCTCGCACAAGGACCCTGCCACCTTTGTCCAGAACGTGGGCTATGGCTTTGCTTCTGGCTTTCTCATGTCGAACAACATCGCCATGCCTGATGAGGTCGCGCGCGCGCATGAGGAGCAGCCGTCTGCGTCGGATTCGCAGCGTGTTCCTTTTCCCGTGAATCCGGTTACAGGACAGAGGCTGGATAAGGAGGAGGTGATGGAGCAGACGCCTATGACGCACGAGGAGAAGGAGAGAGAGGCAGAGAGACTGTTTGTCCTGTTTGAGAGGCTGAAGGCGACGGGGGTCATGGATGTCGTGAATCCGGTCGAACAGGCGTATCGGGAGGGCAGGATACAGGAGCTGAATAATGACGAGGATGACGATGACGATTAGGGCATCTTGCCTAGGACTTGGGATTCACGACTAGATGTTCCTGTCCGAGAGTGATATGCGAGATGATGAAGATGGCATTTAATATCTGACGCGCATATCTGAAATATCATGTTCTAGCTGCGTACATTACGCCCCCATGCCCCGTCGCACGAACCCGATGACTGATGTTCTTTGAACCGCCCTGAGAACAAACGCCCATGAATGCTACAAGTAACCACTCGTGCATTTCTCGTAACCCCTTGATTGTAAAGAGAGAGAAAAATCATCAATTGTATGCTAGCGCCGAGCCGCCGGTACGAAAGATACGAAGAAAAAATTGTAGAAGATGAAGGAATAGCATGAGGCGCACAGCTCCATCTCGAATCTGAATGAATAATCCGCATTAAACACGTGAAGTCATGGAAGCCGGAGACGGCGTATTGCTGAACATTCGAGTGAGAGCAGTCGAGAGCTCACACCGCGATTAAGCCAGTCTTTGCAGCCCCAGGCCTTTCAACGTAATCAAAGTCAGACTCGCCGTGTTTGTCGTACTGGTGGCCGACTGGCGATTGAGGAATCTCGATCCGAGGGAGCGTGCCCGTACCGCCTTGGTTGTGGTACTGACGGAACCACAATGGACTGAAGATCCGTCGAAGCAGAACCGTTAGGACGGATCCAATATATGAGTTGACACAAGCGACAGGGTAGGCACTCAGCCACAGCAAGAGGACGATGCCGGCACCCTTTTGTGCAGATGTCAGGGTGATTGCGGATGGAAAGGAACGCTGAGCATTCAAGTCTGAGACGCGAGAAGGAAAGGTGCCGAGCCAGTCGAATATGCCGCAGGTATGAAGGAAGAATGCTGAGCTGGATGCACCCGCAACATATGTCGCAACCTTTGCATTCAATTTATAGAGTGTGGCAAGGAGGAAAAGTATGGCGAGAGTAATTACACATCTACGGACCAGGAGTGTGGCCAGCCCAGGTATAGCACTCAGAAAGGCAAAGCCTTCTGCAATATGTTCTGTCTGGCTCTCGAAAATGTCCAGCCTCTCCGCGATACTGTAGATCTTGGCAAGAGATGAGTTGGCAATGTCGCTGGTTTGGTTGACGGTATCCTGTACGGCAGTCATGTGGCCCGACAAAGTATTGTAGCTTTCCACTTGCGCTTGATGGTTGGTGTGTAGACTGTACAACGCACGCTCGTGATACTGCTGTAGTTCTCCAGCAAACAACTTGGCAAGCTGGGAACTTTCCACCATGAGATCCTGTGAGAAATCTTGCATCTTCTCGTGAATCTGTGCTATTTCGGCGGTCTGGCTCTCAGCCAAGGCAGTGATGAGCTCGGAGATCGAAACGTCCATGAAATTGTGAAACTTCTCGTCGAGTGCTCCAACAGTTGTCACAGCCTTTTCTTGCATTGCGCGGATGTTCTCCTGCAGCTGGATGTGAGACTCCTGAGTCTCTCTAGAGAAGCGGGACTGTTCTTTGATCAAAGTGTCATAGTCTTCCGTTGTCTTTTGCATGGTCGATGTCACAACGCCGAGAACTTGCGTCAAGTTCTTAAACATCTCTAAGTGGTTCTCTCGTTCTATGGCGTCCCTACTAGCTTGGCACATAATTACAGCATTCTGTCGAGCATTGCTGAAGGACGTCCAAAACTGCGGTGTTGATTGCAGAGTTTTCAGACATTGCGTGTATTGAAAATCCTTGAATTCTGGATAGCACTGTTTGTCGCTCGAGACCTCTGCTTTGGCATGCCACCAACTTCCGCCCGTACTGCAGGCCTTCGAGGTCGGGACAAGGATTTCACAGTGTAGAGGCGGGATGGGGTTGCTCGGCTGAGCACTGAGTAGCTCGCATACAGCCAGCTTAGCAGCGTACTCCGTCTTGACGTTGTCCAAGTATGCCTCCGGCCGAGATTTGGCGAAGTCAGGTGCATTCTCGAGAAGCTTGCATTCACTCATCAAATGTGAAGCGGCCATGCGAGTACATGTTGGTGCATTCTGCATCGAAATGACAAAATCGACAGCTTGCGTGATGACCTTTTGATTTCTTGAGGTAGTGTATCGAAAGAGAGCATCCACGTTGACAGTGAGTGCTGCATCTGCTGGCGGAGAGTAGTATTGAGCGACAGTCACCGAGAACAAAGAGATCATCATGGTCATGGCTGGAAGCTTGGTAGTTCGACTTTGAGCCCCCATACTGCTCATATGTAGCATAATCTTTTGCTTGAATATTGCGGATGGAAGAGAAAGCGAGCAAGTTATTTTGACAAGAGCGGAGAAGAGTGAAAAGGATAGTTTGATAAGGCTGAATAGAACGAGGCCTGCCAATCTTATCAGTAAGACTGTGGGCAAAGTAATAGACTGAACATGGCTCAGTGTTTGTACGCCTGAAGCCTGAGGTTATTACTGTGACAGCTGAGTGAGAGTACAACCTGCAATACCGGTAGAACGACGACGCGACGTTAGTTACGCTGAAAAGCAAAATACCATAAGTTCCAGTGAGAGGCTGCGAAGCCGGTATGATCAATTGCCGCACTTGGGCATGCTATCCTACAAGACGTTCTGCCACCAGCATGAAGGGAACTTTTTGACGAAGTGTGGACAAGAGCAGAGTGGGGCATCCCATCCAAGCATGAACGAAACGCGTCATCACATGACCGGATGACTAAGTTCTGGCAGGGCTGAACTCCGCAACTCCAGAAATTAATTCCCGCCAAGAGTCGCTCTCAAGCACAAACACGGCCATGTTCGCCCACGCCCGCCAACGGTGCGCGCAAAGCATCGCACAGCCCTCGCTTCAATCCACTGAATCAATTCCGACTTTCCTACTCCCCGCTCTTACCCGGCCCGTGGCGTCGAGGACCTTTACCACAACCTCACCATGTAAATCCAAGATTGGCTCACAGCCGCTCTCAATACCTTCGGGAGTTACTTTTCAAGTGATAGCGCCGTCGTCTAAAAATATGGGATCGAGAGTGCAGGCCATGTCGACAGTGCGTATTAAGGGACCGCTTGGCGAGCTGTCAATGGATGTCCCACACTATGTCAATATCAATACAGACTCGGGCCAGTCAGGGCCAACGTTGACTATACAAGATTCGACGGATGCAAAGCAGAGGGCGATGTGGGGTGAGATCACTGGGCAGCTTCGCAATTGCACATTGACTAATACGCCAAAGGAACGACGCGCGCATATCTGCAAAATCACATCACAGGCGTCAGCGAAGGCCACAGCGCTATCCTGAGCTTCGTTGGCGTCGGCTTTCGTGCCTCGGTTGAAGATTCAGCTACCACAGTAAAGCCGGAGTTTCCAGGTCAGAAGTTTGTCAACCTGAAGGTTGGCTACTCTCACCCAGTCGAACTGGGCATACCGAAGGGTATTACGGCGAGTACACCGCAGCCAACGCGTTTGCTACTCGAGGGGCCGGAGAAGGATGTACTCAAGCAGTTTGCAGCAAACATCAGGAAGTGGAGGGAACCTGAACCCTACAAGGGCAAGGGTATCTTTGTGGACGGGGAGACGATCAAGCTGAAGAACAAGAAGATCAAATGAGGGAGAGGTATACGGTTGTACATATCTGTATTATATGCGTGTCTGGGGCACTGCATTGCTATATTCGAAATCGGCTGGATTTGCCGACAGGCTGCTACACATGTGGAGCTATGAAGGGTATCGTCGAATAATACTAAACCCAATAATCTCCAAGTCCAAGTCAAACTCCGAAATCTCAGTATAGTCAAATTACATCCTCTATGATCTCTCCTTCCCACTCTTGACGCTCTTTCCGCTTTTCACACTTCTAAGACTTTTTTTGCTGGCCGTCCTCTTAAGCTTCGCTTTCAATTTCTTCCATTTGTTCTGCAGTCCTTCATCCTCCTCTTCCATGGCAGGCCGGCCCTCACTCTCCATACTGCCCCGTGGATATGTGAGACCACTCTCACTCCCTACGTCTACACTATCCATGGCCCTGTGATGACCGCTTCGAGTAGGCGTTGCGGGTGTCGACATCTCGTTGTCCCTCCCCATCATTCTAGTCTTGCCAGCGCTGTTGCAACCACCAAGAAGAATGAATTCCAATGTCTCCCATGCGGCCATGCCTGCAATAGGGCCATCGCTGCTGTTGCCCTGGACAACACCATTCTTCCACGGACAATGCTCCCGATGAGATTCAAGCAGATTAAGCCTCAGACTCTCCATCGGGACATTGAGCTTCTTGCTCATCTCCTGCAGCCGCGCATCAGAGGAGAGCCAAAGGCCCAAGCGTTGGAAGCAGTGTGTGCAGGTTGCAAGGCTGATGCGGGATTCTGACAACCCAGTCCAGCCGAAAAGAGCAAATATGAAGGCGACAATCTCGCTAGGGGTAGTAGGTGGCGGTTGTGGTGCAAAGATTGAGCGGGGTGTATGCGCAAGAATGTGCTGGATTGGCGGGTCGGGATACGTTATGTTGGAGAGAAGTGGAAGATCAGTGGATAAGGACTGAAGGGAGATGTAACGAGACAGCAGATCTGCCGTGCTCTTCGCTCGATTAGCGATTGGGATGTGGTAGATATCGTCTCCGCGAATGTTAGCAGCGATTCATGACTACAATTTTCACAACGTACCTTGACAGCCCTTCTTCTTCCACAAACAGTCATTTGCATGCGCACTGGTGATGAGCTCCTGGTATCGATAGACCAAAGCAGGATCAATCTCAACAGCCATGTCTTCGCTCTTCTCAATATCCTTTCCATCCCCGTCTTTTCGTTTGGGTCTTAATTTGACTGCAACACGCTTCTCGCATCCACCTTTGCACGCCACTGTATTCCAGGTATCGCAACTCCATCCCTTCTTCGCCCACTCCACCTCACTAATATCGTCAGGCTTCGATGTCCACCTCTTAACATCTGCAAAGGTCTTCAGTCGCTCAAGGAACTGCTCCTGGCTGTAAGGCTGATAATTTGGTGCTTTGCGAGGAGACGGCGCTGTCGACGGCGACGGCGATGGCTTGGTTGTTACCTGTACGGCTGTTTTACCTACAACTCTGACAGTGGCATTACGCCGGGGTGTCAAGAGTTGTTCTTTGATGATACGGATGCGCTCTTGACCAGCCGATATGTTTCGTTGACGCTCGTCGCTCACATGGGAGCTGCGAGGTCGTTTTGAAGCCGGTTCAGGGCTTCCCGTTGGTTGCAGTGATTCGGTAGATGGATTCGATTCTGGTAGTGTGCTCGCAAGCGAGGTTGTAGAAGTGCTGCCTGTGAGGTTGTCGAGCAATTTGTGGAATTTCCGCTTCGTTGTCGCAAGAGCAGGCTGAGAGTCTGTAGATGCCATGTTCAAAGATGCAGCGGCGCAGCCGGAGACTCCAGGCTCGATTCAGGGCTGTGTCGAGACTTTGACGAAGTTATCAGAGCTGATAGATGGCGTCTCTGTGGTTGTCAGGATGGCGGCCTCTTTGTCACTGTCGATCTTTGTTTACCTACCGGTAATTGCGAGCCGGAGCACAGAGTAAAGTGGGGTATACAATGCGCTCAATGGGGCAGAAGACGTGCAGAGTTGGCTGATACTGCTACAACTCCTCGACTGTAGGAATTTCGCGTCTACTTTCCAGAGTGTCAACTGTTATGCAGAGTGGCCAGACAGATAAAGTTGCTCTCCAAGGTTACCATGGCGCCCGTGGCCGAAAAGGGAAACCTCCGCCCGCCGTGCCAAGACCTATATTCATACGTCAGTTCCGCCCCTCCAACGCAGCCCCGCCAGCGAACAAGTGCAGCGAATCTTAGCTCATGTCCGCATTAATTGCGCTATCTAAATTCTCGCTGCTGGCGCTCATCATCCTGGCTACCTCACTGCTCAGTACTCCTCTGATTTCTCGGAGTCTACTTCGCCTAGGTCAATTGAAACAGCACATCTATTCCTCGCCCGCTATCCCACTCTCCAAAAGCCTCCATACAAACACTAATCGGGCCCTACACACCATGGCATACGAGAAAGAACTCGAGGTTGCCCTTCTGGCCGTTCAACGAGCCTCTATTCTCACAAAGTCGGTTTATTCGAGTCACACTAAGGGCACTCTCTCCAAGTCAGACTCGTCGCCCGTCACAATCGGTGACTTCGGCGCGCAAGCCCTCATCATCGCGTCCATCAAGCATGCTTTCCCTGAAGATGAAGTCGTCGGAGAGGAAGATGCAAATGATCTCCGTAATAACGACTCGCTCCGCGATTTGGTCTGGGATCTCGTGCAAGCTGCAAAGCTAGATGACAGCTCAGTAGAGGCCAAGATTGGAGGGCCAATTAAGAGTGCAGACGAGATGCTGACTGCTCTGGACAGTGGAAACAGTGAAGGAGGCAACAAGGGAAGGATCTGGGCATTGGACCCCATTGACGGCACAAAGGGCTTCTTGCGTGGAGGTCAATATGCAGTCTGTCTAGGCTTGCTCGTAGACGGTGTACCGACAGTGGGTGTCATTGGCTGTCCAAACCTGCCAGTGGATGACCAAGCGCCAATTGATGCTACTACTGGTCAAGATGCAGACGACAAGGAGGGCAAGGGCGTACTGTTCAGCGCAGTAAAGGGTCAAGGTGCCACGAGCCGACCGCTCACCAAGGCCTCTCTTGAGGGATCAAAGAAGATTTCCATGAAGCCCCTTCCAGATATCTCGCAGGCTACCTTTTGCGAATCGGTAGAAGCAGGTCACTCTTCACAAGGCGACAATGCCGCTATTGCCTCGAAACTTGGCATCACGAAGCCTTCAGTACGCATGGATTCCCAAGCCAAGTATGGCTCGATCGCTCGTGGAGCAGGCGATCTATATCTTAGACTGCCGGTCAGCAAATCATACCAGGAAAAGATCTGGGACCACGCGGCCGGTGTGGTCATCGTGCAGGAAGCAGGTGGTGAGGTCAGCGACGCGTATGGCAAGCCATTAAACTTTGGTCTCGGTAGAACGCTTAGGGAGAATAAGGGGGTCGTCGCTGCACCAAAGGATGCGTTCTCAAAAGTCATTGAGGCCGTCAAGGAAGTTCTGAATGCAAAAGAGTAGGCTGGTATGGCGTGAAGCACTGCGAAGCAGTCACATTAAAACACTATCAATGTCATAAAACTCATGTTGGCTATGCTCTGTGAACTTCCTCATTCTTTTTACTTTTTATCTCGCCTTTGTGCACACAGCGTATATGTCCAAACACCCCACAAATTCAAATTTTCGACGAGCAGATCAGGAAGGCGTAATCGAATGACATGTGGGCTTACAGGTTCCCCGCTTTCGTCAAACAGCCAACTGGTACAGAAGGGAGAAACCTCACCTCATATCAATGCATCATGCACTTTTTTGCTTGTGAAAAGATCGATGTACGGAAGTTGCTAGCAGTTGCTAGCACAGTCACTGGAGAACATAACGACAGAAAGGGAAGGCATCACTGAACATCGTTACCATTCAAGACTTTCATTTTCTGCAATACGTCACGAGAGCTTACGTGCGCTTCAAACTGCGGCGAGCTAGGGATGTGATTATGTTTGTATTTTTATATGGCAGTAGCAGAAGCGGCAGCCAGATATTGACCTGTGGCTGGTTAGATAACTGAAAAGGAAGAGTTTGCATAGTGGATTTCTGGAAGATTGTACCTTGGTACTTCTAGTTGAATTGCAAGTTTGGAACAAGTTCTTGAAATTACATTGACTGTCGACACAGATTCGTGTATCCAGATTGATGAAGTTGGGCAAAAGCAAAACGCGAATTACCATGCCAAAGACAGACTGTCTGTCATCGCGGGCCTTGCAAAGCAATGGGGATTCGTGAAATCTCGCCTTCAGACACTGCAGCGTTCCCTCATCGATTGCAAGACTGATTTGGCTGAGCATCATGCGTGTGGTGTATGCTGGCTCAGTAGGATCAAAGTCTAATCTTGCAAAGCAGGCTATTTCCAACATAAGTCGACAAGGGAAGAAGCGGCTAAAATGACGAGTAGATCCTATATCGTTCAAGGCTACAGTGACACATACGAAGGTTACAAGTTGAGAGTGGGATGGGTGGTGAGGATACAGGTACGTTCAAGAAGAAAGCTTCCGACATTCATGTCAATATCTTAACAATTCACAGTTTGAGAGACAGGAGCAGGTGGAATGAACTTTTGAATTTGTCTTCCGCTGTCATGCAGAAGATCTTGTCTAAGCTAACCAGAGCATGTCGCTCGGCGTTCCCTCCCTTCTCACTGTAAGAGAAGTGGGCGAAACTACCATTCGTAAATAGTCATGGTATCGTTCGAAGCTAACCGTTTACTCCACCCAATGAATGAACACAGCCTACCAGCCTAGTTCATCTGCCTGACGAGCTGGTTGATGAACTCCTCACGGTTACCGAGGTCACCGCCCTCGATGAAGTGCTTGAACTTCCTGGTGCGGAAACCACCAGTGGGCGAAGACAGCTTGAATGGCCAGAGGAAGTTGGCGGCCTGCTTGAAGTTGGGGCCGACGGTGAAGATTTCGTGAATGAGGTCCTCGACGCAGGTGATGCCGAACTTCTCGAGGCTCTGCTCGATGACCTCGTTGTTGGTGATGGGAATGCGCTGCTTGTTGACCTTGGCATATCCGCGCTTGTAGATGAGCTCACGGACAGTTTTCAAGTTGGGGTAACCGTAGGCGACGAAAGGCTCGACGATCTTGAGCATCTCGCTGGTGGCCTTGGTCAGGCGGATGAAGACACCATTGTTGATCTGGAGGAGACGGAGGAGCTGGAGGGTCTTGCGCTTCTTGGGGTCAATCTTGTTGATACTAGATCGTGTTAGTACAGCGGTCGATGCGGGTTGTAATGTCGAACGCACCCCTTGATACGGACAACAAAGACGAGACGAGACTCGGCAGGCACGAAGAGGGAGTTCTCCTTCTTTGCAGCACGCTTGGCGTCGATGATGTCGCGCTGGGCCTTGAGGTACTCCTGGTTGTACTTCTCGGCGCGCTTGAAGATGGTCTCGCGTTTCTGCTTGTTGGCCTAAGAGAGTCTTAGCCAACTGTGATGCTCCTATCTGCTTGCGCAGGTTGCGGGAGACTGTTCATCGTACCTCACGCTTCTTCTTCAGGTCGGCCGCTTGCGAGTCGGTCGTCTTCTGGTGAGCCTTCTGCTTCTTGAGCACCGACTCGGGGACGGCGATGTCGTTTTGGGTGGGGACGCTGGAGAAGTATGATAATCAGCTTTGTGTCTGCCATTGGCATGATGTAGATGAACACATGTAGACTTACGATGAGCGTGCCATTTTTGCTGCTGGTTAGTCGGGCTGTAGATTGTCGGGAAGCTGGAGTTTCGAAGATTTCCTACAACAACAAGCGAATATTCGTTGTGGGTAACGCTCGGACCAGGTTACTAAACGGGGAGGTGCTCGTGAGACTACACCAAAGCGAGCCTAGGCCTGACGGCCATCAATCGGAGCCCCGCCCAAGTCTTGAAGCTACCCATCATCGACATTTTCTTGAGCTTTAGCTTGCGACACCAGACGCTTGCTGCAAGTTTGCAAGCAATAAACTACCCTCAAATTCCAATCGCAAAAATGGCTAGAGGAGGTCGCGTAAGTACCCACTCGCCAATTCACACATAATCATATTCTAATGTCAAAGACAGGGCGGCAGTCGCAAGCCATTTCGCGGTAAAGGCAAAGGTCGTGGAGGCGGCGGCGGAGGTGGTAGTAGAGACACCCGCTCAGAGCCATGGTCCACCATTGAGCGCAAGAATGAGCTCTTCGAAAGCTACTACCGTATGGGTGGCTTTCTCGAAGAATCTGAGTTCGAAGAAATGTGGAAGACGCTCCAGGCCGACCTGCCAAACAGCTTCCGCTTCACGGGCACAAAGTCCGATGCGCTTGCCGTGCGCGAAATCTTCAAGCAACGTTATATCCCCGCAATCGCCGATAAAAAGTTCGAGGGCAAGCCTGTGCCACCTCCAGAGGCTGTCCAGGCCTTCCCGGATGAGCTGGTGTGGCATATGAAGACGCACAAGAAGATTATTCGACGACATGCGCCCTTTGCTGATTTCCAAAAGTTCCTCGTCGCCGAAGCAGCATCCGGAAACATTAGCAGACAGGAGGTTGTTAGTATGATTCCACCACATTTCCTCGATGTTAAGCCAGGCATGGTGGTCTTGGACATGTGTGCTGCGCCAGGAAGTAAATCTGCGCAGCTTGCCGAGATGATCCACGGCGACGAGGAGGAGCGCGTAAGACGTGTCGCAAATGGCGATACTGTCAATCTCACCGAGGAAGGCGACTACAGCGATGACGGCCGATCCACTGGCCTGCTTATTGCAAACGACACCGACTACAAGCGCGCTGGGATGTTGGTGCATCAAGTAAAACGCCTCAATTTTCCTAATTTGATTGTCACTCAGCACGATGCTTCGATATTCCCCTCGATCGAGCTTCCTAGTGAAAACGGCCAGAAGAAACAATACCTCAAGTACGACCGTATCCTGGCCGATGTGCCCTGCTCTGGCGACGGTACCGCTCGCAAGAACCCCAACGTTTGGCAGAAGTGGACACCCAAGGATGGACTTGGTCTGCACAATCTGCAATTGCGCATTCTCTTCCGAGGGCTACAAATGCTCAAGAAGGGGGGTCGCATGGTCTACTCGACCTGCAGTATGAACCCCGTAGAGAATGAAGCCGTCATCGCTGCTGCCATTGAGGCCTGCGGAGGAACTTCAAAGGTGCAACTCGTAGACTGCTCCGATCATCTCCCCAATCTCAAGCGCAAGCCGGGGTTAAACATTTGGAAAGTCCTCGACACCTCGTCCATCACAGCAGGAGGTGAGAAGACTGCGCATATGTTCACTTCATGGGAGGCCTACCAGAAGGCCAGGGCGAAGTATGAGGTTGAGGAGCCCGAGCGCCAGTTCTCCACCAAGGTCACCGCTAGCTGCTTTCCTCCAATGGCCAAATCTGAAGAGGAGCGCATCCCACTCGAGAGGTGTATTCGTGTTTACCCTCATCAGCAGGATACCGGAGGCTTTTTCATTGCAGTCATCGAAAAGCTGGACGATATCAAGGTTTCACAAGTGCAGAACCCAGAGGGCGCAGCGAAAGCCGAGAAGAAACAGAACCAGGTAGAGACCACGACTGACTCCACCGTCCCCATCCCCACGGAGAACGTCATAGAGGGAGATGTCACCATGGGCGAGTCCGAAGAGGTTCCCGATGCAGCAGCCACCCTGAAACGTAAGTTGGATGAGAACATGGAGAACGGCGCTCCGAAGAAGACCAAGACCTCGGAAGAACCAGTCACTAAGTCGACAGAAAACGGCTCAGCCGCCAAGGAGGTAGAAGAGACCGGAACGCAACCCACAACACCCAAGGAAGTTCGTCTTAAGCCCGAAAACCAAAGCCAAAACAAGGAATACTTTGAGTACCTAGCCAACGACGACCCTGTCATCGCCAACATTATGGACTTCTTTGGCATCTCCCCGCGCTTCCCTCGCGACCGCTTCATGTCAAAGAACAAGGAGGGGCTTGTCGCTGAACAAGATATACTACACCTCTGCCTTTGCCCGGACCATCATCTCCACCAACAAGGACCGTGGCATGCGCTTCATCCACTGCGGTGTCGTCATGTTTGTCGCGCACAAGATCAAAGACAAAGATTACACACACGCCCCCTGGCGCCTGCAAAACGAGGGCATCCGCATCATCGAACCATGGGCCAGCAAGCGCATCGTCAACTGCACCAGCAAAGCAACGCTCCACCAACTGCTGTGCGAAATGTTCCCCAAGCTACCCAAGGAGGGCGACACAGGCCTCGGCGAGGTCGGCGACCAGCTACAGAAAATGGATGTGGGATGCGCCTTTGTCCGCATCGAGGCAAACGAAAAGGAAGGCATCCCATACCGCATCGTCCTGCCCATTTGGAGACACCCCGGTAGCGCCAATCTAATGGTCGACAAGGACGAGCGCAAGGCCATGCTCCTGCGCCTCTTCAACGAAAAGGACACGGAGATTATCAATCATGTCGCTGACAAGGCTCGGGCGGAAGCTGAAGCTGAAGCCGAGGCCGCGAGGGAAGACGCTGCGGAGACAAAGGTCGAGTCCAGGGACGCTGATGCTGATGCCAGTGATGCTGAGCAGGTGGATGAGATCACGATTGCGGAGAAGGAGGAAGGCGCGATGAATGTCGATGTCCAGGCTGACGCTTAGCACTTGGAGGACGGAAAGAAAGGCAGGAAAGGAGAACGTGTCACGCTGGTATGAGAATACGAAGGGCAAGGGAAGAGGAATCCTTTCCGACCATGACTGGTCTTTTCCCCCTTTCTTCCAACTTTGTTCTTATTCTGCATTTGCGGCTCGGCGTTTGTCATGGGAGATGGTTATTTTATTTTCATTTCCGCTTGATCTTGTCGGGGAAGAGTGTGGCGAATGCACAATATCTTGCAATATTTGTTGCAATACGCATAAGTACTGATGTTTTGTCTTGGATCTGGGATTTACTGCTTCGCCTTGTTCCTCCTCTTACACACACACACACACACACACACATACACACACAACAAACAGCAAAAGCAAGACCAGAAAAACACAACACAAACATCTCCATTCATAACTCCTGCTACCACTACTCCTTCCCCTCCTACCCCTACAAACCCCCCCAAAACAATGCCAGACCACAAACTGTGCTAAATGCCCACATAATCGCTCTGCCAAAATACCCGCGCACCAGAACCCCCTCAACATGAAACTATAAAACTTGTCAAAAAAGGCCGAAAAAACTCTTTCTATCGCTTTTAAAAAAAAAAGGAACTAAGCGGCGACTGCAGTGGCGGTAGGGGTACTAGGAGTAGGTGTGAGATTCCCGCCCAGGACATCTGGCTCGACGTGGACATGATCGGTATCGAGACCAGATTCCTCTGCGGTGTCGTTGACCTGGTGCACCGACTCATTGCCGTCTGGTTGGGTAGCAGGCTGTGGCAGCGAGGCGGCAGGCATAGTCGTGTTCGAGGGTTGTTGTTCGCCCACGTCCTCTGTCATCTCGACCTGATTCTCCTCGTCCTGGGCGTCAAACGACGTGTGATAGGGTGAAGGGCCGGCGGCGCTGACCGTCGTGGTGATTTGATGCGCGGCTTCCTCCGAAACGCCGAATTCTGTGGTGACGGTGATGGAATCCGGGCTGGGCATTGGGGGGACGAGGTCGCCCAGAGAACTGGCGCGCGTGTTGATAGCGTTGCCGCTGTTGCATTCGTTGCTGGTGACGGGTTCAGATGTCGTGGTAGCGACTTCTTCAAACACGCCGGCGAAGAATTCGTACATGGCTCCTGCCAACTCGTCGGCCTGGCCACGCTCCTCCTTGTCTTTTTCTCTTCGCGCAAGCTCGCGGAGCTCGGCGTCTTTTTTGGCCTTGACTTCGGCGTCGAGGCGACACTTGGCGCGGACTTGGGGTTTGCGAGTACAGGTCGGACAGTGATAGTTGACGGTGCAAAAGGTACATGTGCATGTTGGGTTGGAAGCGGAGCATTGCTGTTCAGCTCGTTAGCGACACCGCACATAGTGACCTACGGAGTAAAAAAAAAGGGAGTGTGGCGTACATCACAAACCAACACCGCGCACTCCGAGCACTCCTTGAGTAGCGCGGGGCACTGCGGTCGATTATCCCCCACAGGGCGGGGATATTGGCAGAAATAAGCGCCACAGCCTTCCCATTGAACTGGATGTCGTGGATTGCACGGGAGGGGAAGCGGATTCGTGATCGGATTGGGATTTGGTCGAGGTGAAGCTGGCCAGGAGCTTCCTTGACGGCCTCGGACGCCTGATACGCTATAGGATCGCGGCCGTGACGAGCTGATGGGTAGGTAGGAGAGAGAAGCTGCTAGATAAAACGGCTCATTTGTGGCCTTGGAGTTGAAAGACGTGCTCGCTGACATGTCCACAGATGTGAGCGCGGATGGAGCAAGGAGGATCTGTGACTGTGACATGGGCGTTTCCGAAGACTCCGATTCATTGTCTGCGGTTGTGTAAATGTCGTTGTGTGAGGTTGCGGTGGGCGTGCGTTCGGGATCCGGTGTATTGGAACGGTTTGGGCTGAATTCAGGGATGAGTAGGCGCTGTGGTGGCTCAGTGTGAGACAGTACGTGCTCGCGCTCGGTGTGGAGGTCTCGATAGCCACATTTGCGGACCTTGAGGGCTCTAAAGTCATGTTCCTTGCATATCGGATTTTTGCAGGCTCGACATGACACCTTCCACCTGAAACTCCTGTAGCAGTCTTGGCACAAACCCCTGGGACAAGTGTTTTGTTGCAGATCGAGTGATTCTTGCTTGAGATACGACAATATGTCGACATCCTCGCCAAGAACATACTCATAAAGGCCATTGCTCCTCAATTCACGGATATAGTCCACTGGCCGAAGCTGGTTGCTGAAATCCGGGTCTTCAAACTCCTTGATTCGTGGCAGGGGCGCTGCTCGAATTTTGTCTGCCCCTCGACCCCCTAATCCAGATCCGAGAACGGCGATACCGCCGCCACCAGAGAAGATGGGCTCCAGACAACACCAGGACATGTTCAGCTTTGGTGGCTCTCGGTTCCCTGGCGGCAGAGGCATTCCGTTGTGCATCATCCCGCCGTCTTCGGAATCCGACGAGTCGTCGTCCTGCGCGCTCTCGTTCATAAGGTTTGGAGAACGCGAGGCCCCAGGGGCCCACCAGAACCTGTCCTTCTCGACATGCTCTTCTCGAGTCCTGATTTCGAGCGAGGTCGTAGACCCCGACACATGCCCAAGCGTGCCGCCGACCGTATGGCTGTTTCCAAAGGCTAGGTTCGTGAAATGCCGTGTCTTTGCTCGTTTCCTCGGTATTGGCTTGTTGAATGCACAGCTCGCGCAAAGTGTCTTGCGACAGCCCATGCAGTGCATGCGGACACTGCAAGACTCGCAGCGCTCAAGGATCAAGTCGTCGCATTGTGTGCATTTGACTTGTTCTACAAACAGCGTGTGGCTTCTTCTCATGTGTGCTGGGACATGCTTGCCTTCTCCTGCAAAGTCTCCGTCCCCAGGACCGAGCGGCTCACCATCCTGCCCGGTATCGGCAATTTCCCACAATCGGCCATCGTGTCCGCCGAGTTTGGCTGTACCCTCGACTGGGCCGATGCGGTTGCCTGATCTCCAGAGCCTATCAAAAGGCACCCAGACTTCCTGATTTTGCGGTCCTGCTCTTCCCTGGTGATATTCTTTCCTCCTGTTACACCTGCCACCCGGGGTGGGACACCATGCCGTGTCGGTCCAGATGCCTAGCTGATGGCAGATCTCGATGAGCTGGTGGGTGGGGTCGGAATCAGAGTCTCTGCGAATCAGAGAGGCGGGGAGGTAGGGTCGTCGACGATGGTGTCTGCAGCGATATGTGTAGAGGGACTTGAGGGCCAGATCCTTCTGTTTCCATGGCGTGTCTTTTAGTGTGTAGGGCTCAAGAAAGGGGACAATGTGGTATTTGATGGACACGTTCTTGCAGCCGCGTACAGACAGATGCTGCAGCGTGTCGATGCGCGGCGCAAGCACGCTGCCGATGAGCGCGATGCCCGTCACGGCGGTGTTGCAGAGGTCCAAACTGGTCAGCCGTGTTCCATTGGGCGCGACAATCTGCTTGAGGAGGGCATCGAAGGAGTAGGCCTTGGACTGGCGCTCCCTGTTGTCGGGTGTCTCGTTGCCGGGCGAGCCCATGGCGACTGCGGGCTGGGGCAGCCGGAAGGACAGCGTCTTCCATGCCAGCGGGTAGTTGCGGAGGAAGTTGCGGAGATGGGGCGAGGTGTGGTAGAGTTCGAGGATGGCGGCGGTGGAGAGCTGGGAGAGGAGCGATTCCAGAATGGGAGGGTAGGATGTCACGACTGACTCGAAGAGACTGAGCGTCGCTTGCTGGCTGCCCGCGTCGCCAGTGATGACATGCTTCGGGTCGGAAGTAGTGGTGCCAGTGGTGTCTGTGGTGGTGAGGGTGGTGGTGATGGCGGTAGTGGTGACAACGGTATCACGGGTGTCGCAGTCCCAGAAGAGGTCCGTCTGGCTCTGCTGTT